GCGATCGCGAGCGCCGTCACATCACGGGTCGGTGTTGATCTCGGTGCCCAACGTTGAAGTTGGTATTTACGGCGGTCTCAGACGCCCGTCAGGGCGACACTGGTGCGACTCAAGGGTGCTGGGAGCGCTAGGCGACCGATGGGAGTTCTTGCCTTTGGCCTCTCGCCGGAACATGCAGACGGCTTCTCACGTCGGTGTCCGTTTGCTCACACGTAGGTGACCGATCTACGAATGGAGGGTTGTCTGATTTAACGGGGGTGGTATGGATCAAGGGTCTGGTCTGCGCGATGCAACCCTGGCGAAGTTGGCTCGCTCTCTCGGCTGGTGATCGGGGCTGCGTCCGTGTCCGATATTCAACATTGCAACCGCATCAGACGATGCCGGCAACTGGCCAGGAGAAAGACGAGAGCGGTTCGATATGCCGATGCCCGTCAAGGAAGCGCGGCACTTCAATTTGTATCCCAGCCCAAGGACTCCTGTACCTGCTGGCCTGGGTGAAAGTTATGCACCTGTTGGCCAGAGCAAACGTGCGGGCTGCGTGATGTGGTAGGATCTCGACCCGCTGCGACGCCAACTTGGACGGATCCGAAGTGAGATCTGACCAGTCGCAAACCAAGATGGAGAAAGGTCCTGCGATCACGGAAATTGTCAATCGTCGTTGAAATCGGTCATTTTGCGTCTTTTCCGTTGTCTGGAAGATCCCATGGTCTGGAAGCTCACGGTGCTCTGCAGCGAGTGGTCAAGCTGGACTGGACCGGGGCGCTCTGCGCGGGGCTCAGCTTGGAGTTCCAGGCCCTCAGTCAGTATCAAGTCGCCTTGCTTTCCGATCAGCGCACGCCCGGCCTCCTCTAGCAGAATGCCAAAAGCAAGCAGCGCTGTCTCGTCCATGCTTGTCTCATCAATAGGACGGTTGCCGACAGGCTGTGCAGAGGCTATAGTGCGACTGTGGGCGGAGTAGTAGTGGGCAGAGTATGTGTGAACAGCCTTGACCAGATCACTGTCAGGGAGGGCGCTCGCCGTGCCGTCTGGTAGACGACGCTCGTGCGCCATGTATACGTCGTGCTCCGCATAACGCTCCGGAGCCAAGCCGCGCCGAAAGAGAGCTTCTTCCGGAGCAAGAATGGAAGAATGCACGGTAGCCTTTCTCAAGCGTGGTGCTCGGTCAACCCCAGGACGAGGGTGATCCTCAATCGCCGTCCGGGAGGATTTCGTTGTGGTGGTAAGTCGACCTGTGCGAATGCGTAAGCTACTCAGGGCGCAGCACGGATTGAGTAAGTGGTGACAAACCTGCCACGGCGTCATACACGTTTGCCTGCCGCCAAGCCCTGTAATCTCGAGGCGTGGGATCCGAAGTCGCCGCGTCGTCCACGTCGGCCTCGATCAGGTCCGAGGCTCCTGCGACAGGACTGGATTGACGGCGGGACTCAGACATGATGGAAGCCGTTCAGTACAACGCCAAATCGCGATGGTCCGTAGCAGGGATTCGAGCTGAGAATAAATGAGGCAGGCATGAGGCAAGCAAGCGGTGGGGTAAATCGTGTGACAGTGACCGTCTGTTTCCAACCTCTATTGTCGTTGATACCAGGCGGATGAGGATGGTGCCTGGTTCGAAATGCAAAGTTGAAATGTTGAGAGGGCAAGAACAAGGTGCTAGATATCCACTTCAGGTCCCGTACCAAGCGTACCTACCCATGTGGTTCAGAGAGAGAGCAAAAGCGCGGCGGGCAGGTGTCGCCCTGAGCTCAGGCCAGGCGCGTCCGCCAGTCGCCTTCCACTCCATCCCATCAAGCCGCCTCGAGACCCACCTGACGCCGAGTCCAGCGATCATGTTATTGTAATTGGCTGGGGGAACACACTCGCGCTTGGCTGCTCCGTTCGCCAACGTCTGCACAACTCATCCATCTCACGAACGTTCAACGCAGGTAGGAAGCTGGCGACAGCTTTTTCAGCATTGCAAAACCGGATCAAGAGACGAACACGCTCGTCAACACACTGAGGCCTCGTCTCAGGCGCAATCGATTTGATGAATGCAGGACCGCCTGTATGCCCGTTCAACCGGTGACCTGACCCCTCGGGCCCTGGCTCGGACCACCACGACAGAGCTTCTGCGCAGCTTCGCTCACGCGCCACAACATCGCTTCGATGGCGAGACAGACGATCGGGGCATTCCAGGGGCTGCCAGCATATGGGCGCATCGCGCCGGTGTCAATGCGCTAGCACTGGAAAAGTTCGACGGCCGTCAGTAAGCCGTCACAGAGGCGCACGCAACAGCATGCACTTGGTGCTCTTGGCGCTGACGAACACATAGCTTGCTTTCAGGAGGTGCCGACGGTGCCCTAAGACTCTGGGATCTCGACAACTGCGGCAGCCCCCATGACCGCCACACATTTCGGCCCGTTGCCGGCGTGCCGCGATCTGTCCGTGGCAGCACCGACGGTCACAAGCACGGCATCACCCATCTCGGCTTCTACCCCTTCGACTCCGACGCGTTCCTATCCAGCTCCTTTGATCGAACCCTGAAGCTTTGGTCAACCAAGCTGATGCGCACGTCGGCCAGCTTTGATCTCGAGACGATCATACATAGCCACGCTACGAGTCCCCTCCCAGGCCACTTGCTTGTTGCTTGCGCCACCCAGCACTCCGCCGTTCGTCTTGTTGACCTCAAATCGGGCTCCGCTGTTCAAGCCCTCGCTGCTCACGGAGGGGCTGTCCTGTCTGTAGCCTGGAGCCCCAGGCACGAGCACGTGCTCGCCAGTGGCCATGCTGATGGCCGGGTCCGCGTCTGGGACGTCAGACGGGCCAGCGGTGTTATTGGCATGCTGGACCACGAGGACAGCCTTGGCATTGTCCACCGGTTCGACCACGCCATGGCTTCAGGCATGTCGTGGACGATGGACCCCATTCCCGGCCGCTGCGCGAGCCCACGATGATTCCGTCAATGGC